ATCTTTGGAACTGCAGAGCAGTTCGGGAGCATCTGTTAGCATTTCACTGGCCACGGACAGAATAACTGCAATAGCACCATCTGGAAAATAGAGAGAAACTGTTTATAAACCTATTTTTTAATGGGAACTGGTATTGAATGGTACTGCTTGCTAAGCTCAGGGAGCATCTCCAGGAGGGCCTGCTAATTCAAGACCACTGTCGACCTGCATCCACCCTGGAGGAGGGTGACAAACCCTCTTCTGTGCTGCTTTTGTTTTACTGTATTGTATTGGCTCATAAAAGCACTTTCAGGGCCCATCTTTCTTCAGCAGAAAAGGAGAGCAGTGGGGAAGAGGAGGACATGGCAAAAAGACAGGCGGAGCTCTAGCTCCATTTGTTTTCAGTGTCTCGTGATTAATAGGTTTTAAGGAGGAAGGAGAGCTCTCATTCCTCTGATAGTGGAGGAAGGGGCCAGGGCTCTGGGTGCAAGCACCTGCTCAGTCCCTCCCGGTCGTGGGTGGTTGAGGGGCGCCTGGTGGGCTGCAGCACCTCCCTGCCTCACAGGGCTTGAAGGGCATTTCAAAGGACACCCAGCTCAGGGAAAGGGGTGCAGCTACATGGGCTATGCTGGCAGCTGCTGGAGTTTCAGGCTGGGTTGGTGCAGGAGCCTCCCCCTGCCCTTGGGATGCACTGGAAAGGAGTCAGAGGCTGGAGGCTTTGGCTGCTGACACGGCATGATGGCTTGTTTTCAGCCTGGGTGGCTTTTTGTGCAGACCTGCCTTTACTAACCCCACATTATCCTGGTGAGGACATCCTCTGGTGTCTCTGGCATGGTTTTTTCTGACTTGGAGTTGATATGATACCGTGGTTTTATTACCAAAGCCAAACAAACCATGAATTTGCAAATAGAAATTGCAGTCGTAAACTCTTCCTGTTTACAGGTTGGTTTCTCTTTGTGTGCTCAACAATACAGTGTTTCATCTTGTGCAAGTCCTATGTTGCTTTCAGAGACTTAGGAACTATTGATTTATACAGCATGTATTAACTTCTTCAATAAATAGGGAGTATTCATCAGTGGGGTGTATTAAATTGGGCTGTATATGCATAGAAGCATCTTTCATCCTGTTAATGAAATGTCCTTACCATGCAACAAAGACTAATACGCAGCAATTTATACACACAATCCCCTGCAGTTTAAATCTGAAGTTCAGATAGGTTTTTTTGTTCCCTAAAGGCACCTATCAGAACTTAGTCGAAATGGATCTCAGTACTCCTTTCAAACATTTATCAGTCCAAAATTTGTTGTGGTTTTGGTGTGGGAATTTTTTTCATTCTAGAGCTCCATTATTGTTTAAACTGATCTGTGTTTAAGCACTCCCAGAAGCATTTCATATTCATATAGAGAGGTTTAGTACTAGAGCCCCTATGGGGACAATTTCTTCTGGTTGCTTCAGACAGCAGTTGTCAAGAAAAGCAAACTTCTCTTGTCTTTTTGCAGTTCTTTACCATGCCCTCTAACCTAGCACATGAGACCTCAGCTTTCAATGGAGAGGGGTGATTTATCAGCAGAGGGCTTGGTACTTCTTAGGTGCTGGGATTTGTCTTCAGAAATCTCCACTCGTTGCAGTCCTGTTAGCACATGGCCTGATGCTAATCTGTGTGTACCAGTGCAGCTCCCTTTCCCATGCCTGACAGAGCCATAAATGGAGCTCTTCAACTTGCCAGAGAAACGCCTGCATCTCACAACGGCTCTTAGCTTAAAAGTGCCCTTGATAAAGTGCTCACAAATGTATATTGGAGAATATTGCCTTTTGCAGGGGGATGTCTAAAGTCATCTAATGGGTGTCTCCTATTGATGGCTTCTGTGGTTTACCTTTCATTGCCAGTGGATGGGGTTAGGACCACACTTGTTACTCAGGAAGAGCTCCCATTGACTTCAAAGGAAGATGCATCTGCAGGATTAATCCTGCTCTTTCCCAGATAGTACTTTAGTTTTCTTTTCCAAGGAAGCTTAGTTAACTTCAGGAATGGTACTTTTAAAGAGCAGCTTGTTTAGCATATTATGCATGTTTAGCTTGGCTTGCAAATTGTGTGTTCTGAGGGGAGTTATGGTCCCTTTCCCCAGTGTGTGCTAAACAGTGCAAACCAGAATGGAAACCTGTTCCTGGGTAGTGGTACAGATGCAGACTGACTTCCTGGGAAGTGGATCACACTCCTCTGTCCCAGAGAGCATATTCTGGAGCATGTATATGACAGTTTCTCTCTTTCCCCTCGTACATTCTCCCCCCACCTCTGCCCCAGCATCATCAGAGTGGCAAGAGTATCCTACCAATGTACCATTATATGAGTGATATTTGAGTGCATGGTAGTAACCTGAACAAAAATTGCTTACCAGGGGAAAAATTTGCAGACTTAAGGTTCAAGGTCTTAATTGTGGCTTTTTATTTGTTTTTCCTTTTGCTTTTTATTTGTCTCTGAAACATGTTAAGTGCAATACATCATAATTTAGCAGTTGTTCTGTTTTGTGGAGATATTGTGGGCAGTCTTGGTATATCAAAGCAAGGAGTGGTGGTTTCCCACAGTTTACTTGTAACCCTCTATGGTACATCTGGCTTTGGTGATGGAGCCATGTCAGTCCAGCTTTCCTCTCACATGTTGTTTCTTGTTTGTTGGCTTAAGTCTGACCCTCTAATGTTATTCTACTTATTTTTTAACTAACCAGCTCCAGTTTCTGTGAAAATAAGCTCTCTGTGGAAGACAGCACTTAATGTCTGTCAGGGTCTGGGTGAGGTTTACAATGATGTGAAGATAGAGTTGGGAGAGCACAAAGCTACAGCATGTATTAACTTCTTCAATAAATGAGGCCACACTGTGGGTCACCTAACAGCAGGAGTTCACACAAGTCTTGGCCAGAAAAAATAACTCTTATTGGAAATCATCATTTTTGTGAACCTCATCAACTGGTCATTTGGCTTGTAATGTCATATGTTGTTGAGTAGATGCCTGCTACTTTGTATGGTGTGAAATATAATTTGTTGGGTGAAACCCTTACCAGAGCTTTCATTTACTTCCAAACTGCTTGGGTTGGTTCACTTGAAAGAGAACAGATTTTGGGTTAGAGCATCTCCTTTGGCTTTTTGAACTTGGAGAGCCAAATCCTCATATCTCCTCCTGATGTGAAACCTTCATGGATCAGTGTGGCCAAAAGTTGTCCTTGGCTGTTCAGCTGGCAGATCTGACCCACAACCCAGCCAGCTCAACGTGCTGTTAATCACAGCATTGCCTGTCATGACCACGTTCCTTCCTGCATGGTGGCCACCTGACAGGGGAATCTCCTGTGCCAAGTGCTTGGTGATGGAGAGGAATCATCCCATGTAAGGGTGGCAGAAAGAGACGAACATGGTGAAGAACACAGGAGAAGTTGTGGGAAGCACAAGTACAGCTCTTGGCTGGCTTCTTTTGGATGCACACTTTTTTCTGCAGTTATCAAAGCAGTGAGCCCAAATAGCCACTTATGGCAGGGACTGGGGCTGGGGGAGCCAAAGCATGGTGGAGGGACTTCTTGTTTATTTAGGGAAGACAGATGTTTCTTTTCCTCCTTTCTCCCAGTTTGTCTTCCCTCTTCCTTCCCCACAGTCTAGAAGCTCATTCCCAAAGAATAACTGAATTATTTTTGAAATGCTTTTAAGGGAAGCTCAGAGCATTGGAAGCCAGATGAGATAATAGCAAGAGCTTGTCTAAGGTGGCACAGTGAGGGGGTGTGTGTGTGTTTGGGGGTGCTGGGGAATGAGCAGTGGGCTTGGAGCCATCCTGGAGCAGGAGGGTGAGCAGGAGAGTGCTGGCAGACCCTGAACAGCAGCGGCGCTATCGCGGCCACCGTGGTATCACTACTTTATTTTAATGTGATTCCTTTTACTTGATGTTAATGCAAGTTGTTCCTTACTTAAAGTAATAAAAGGAAATGAAGACACATTCTAAAATGAAACCTGACTCTAATCCATTCATCATCTAATACCAGCCTCTTTATCTTTGCTGGTACCTAATCTGGTTAAATGTCCCTGTTGTAGGATTTTAGTGAAAATCCTCTATGGGGAATAGGGTTTTTTGCAATTGGATTACTCGCAGTAAATGGTCCAGCGGTTCAGCTGGTTTCAGCCTAATTTTTTCTTTGTGATCTTGTAAGGGTAAGTTACAGTTCAGCCTGCCTTTTTCTTTCATTCATTCACTCGTTTTTAATTTTTTTTTTAAATTGTTGTTGAGAAAAATGGTTTTTTTTACCCCCAGAGCTAGGAATGTGATGGGGAAAATCTCATGATATCTACGTGATTATTCCCCCTAGAAGAGTGTTAATTTCAATGGCTTTATCTGGGGGGTTTTGCCATTATTTATATAGCTGAATATTTTAGTAGCCTAATTAATCAGTATCCAGTTTCCATTTATTAGCGCTCTCTGATGAATTGATAATTAATCAGCTCTTCTAAAATATATATATAAAATATGCAGGTGATCGCTTGTCAGCTTAATGCTTGCTGATGAAGGGAATACTCCAGCACTACAAAGGCTTTTTATCTGGAGTATTTGCAATGAGCAGTAAAATGCAGAACTGAGAGTGAGGACAGGAAGGGGAGAGGAAAAGACCTACAGGTCATTGAGCATTTGGGTCTCTTGCTAATTAAATGGGGGACTCTCTCAGCCCCTCACTGAGGAGTCTGCCAGCATCTTGGAGGTGAAGCACAAGATTATAAAATAAAAAGGAAAAATTTTAAAGAATTGCTGTTGCTCCATAGAGGAGCATGACAGGTCAAAAAGATTAAAGAACCTCAACAGCAGGGAAAGTGTGTGAGGAGGTTTTAAGCAAGAGGGTGGGAAAACTGCAAGGGTGATGCCAAGAAGGAATCTGGAAAAGTCTGAGGATCACATCGAAATCCTGGCTACTCAGATTTTTGTGTGTTGTTCCTCATGCTGTAGTGGGGGGATGCCCAGCGCTGCTCTAACAGTGTCAACCTTTTTCTCTTGACAGTCTAACAAAGTGCCAGTTGTGCAGCACCCACACCATGTACACCCTCTTACGCCGCTTATCACATACAGCAATGAGCACTTCACACCAGGAAACCCTCCTCCACACTTACCAGCTGACGTAGACCCCAAAACAGGTAGGTGGGAAGTATTTTGGGGTTTCTTTTCAGAGGGAGTGGGTGGATCTTCCCTTTTTGCGCATTAGGGGTGGGGAGTGTGGGAGAATGGATTTCCCATGCTGGAGCACCAAAGGGGGCATGTAAAATGTCAAACCCAGACAAAATACTTTCTTTTTAAGCCAATTAGGCTTCAGAAGGAAACCCACTGGGTGAATTTTCATAGAGCTTCTGCAGGGTGACACCAGAGTTGCATGTGTGGGGTCTCTTGCAGGTGTGTTTCTGTGCAAGCATGATACCCCACCTGGTAGTTCAATCTACCAGTGCTTGGTTTGCATGCACGACCCAGAGAATTAAACATGTACATTCTGTGATCTGCACTTACAAAATTGCAGCTGGAATTTTAAAGGTGGTGGGTCATGACCAGTTTCAAAATGAATCTCTTTTAATTCCCCAAATCCCATTGTTTCTGTGTCAGGAGTTCAGCCATTTTTCCTCTATAATGTTGAATTTTCATCCACTGTAACTACTTAGCTCCAGCTTTACACTTGCAACTCTTTTCCCCAATGTAAGTCTACCCAGCTCTAAGTTCAGCCTGAAGGGCACTCTGCTTGAATATAGAGCACCACGTAAAATCCTGACTAGATTTATTGGTGTTACAGAGTAGAATTTACATGTTATTCTAACTTTCTAAGAGTCCCTTTTTAACCTGAGGTCCCAAAGAAGTCAAACAGTGTCAATCTTCTTTCTCCAGGCTGCGCTGAGCTCCTAGTGGCAGTGGTCTTGGTTTTGTTAATCCAAACCCCATTTAGTTAATTGGGGAGTTCATCAGAAACAGAATTCATGTCAAAGGAATCACTCTGTGTCAGCCCTAACTTATGCAGATAATTTATCTGGACTCCAGCCCTTGAATGAGACTGTGCATTAGCTGGTTGTCACTCGATATGCTTCAACTGGGGCCCCCTTTTAATTGTGCTTAATGCTGACTTCACATGGCTTGAAAGGAATCCATCTCACCATCCCTGGGTATTGCAAGTGAATGGCATAGTCAACCTCTCATTTAAATAATGGTAGTACAGGGAATAGCTTTTAAATGGTTATCGTAAAACATATGATTAACGTCTGTAGACTGTTTACTTTTCTTCTGTGAACATTCTTTCAAGTGTGCAAATAGCTCACTGGATGGTTAAAGCCCAGTTAATCTGTTTGGGTTTTGTAATGGAGAAAAAGCAATGTCTGCATGAAAATGTCACACAAGGAGATTTAATTTAGAGATTAAAAGCTTCCCAAGTGACTTAAAAAAATAGTTTTTAGCCCTGAATACAGTACCCCTTCTTTTTAATGCTCTCTGTTTTAATTTTGCTTCTGCTGTGTAATTGTGCCCTGGCTTGTTAATTGAAAGACCCAGCTTTGTAACCCTTACTCCTCTGAGTAATTCCTATTTGCTCTCAAGGTAAGGAGTGTTAATATTTAAGGCTTGTTTCTGCTTTCTAAGTAGGAACTGCACCTCATCCAGAGAGAGGAGGGGTGGGCTCTCTGTCCTCCCCTGCACACCTTCAACATCTGCCCCTGGTTTTACCAAGCACTTCCAGGGCCCTCAACTCCACTCCTGGTTTCAGAAAAGTTTTCCTAGGTTTGCTCAAAAGCAAACATCATTTGCAATTTTAACGACTTTTAAACTTGTTCTGGATATTACTTTGGAATAATGCCATGTTATTGAGTACCCAGTCATCACATGGGTAGGGCCTGTGGTCTTTTGGCTGACTTTGAAACTAAAATAACCATGAAATTGTTGCAGGGGCCATCTTTTTGTTGAACATTTAAGAGAATATCTAATACAGCATCACACCAAAATTTTATCTGAGACTGCTAAATTCTAAATAACAAAAATAATTATCTCTGGAGAGGTGACTGAGGGAGTGAATAACATCATTTTTTCTTGTTTAAAAAATGAGAATGTGAAAAAGCCTTGGAAAACCCTAAGTGAAGGCACAAATACTGTAATAAAAGTAAATTGACAGAAATTTAGAAACATATACGTTTTTTCTTTATATTTTATTTATTTCCACATTTCAATACTGATGCTGCTTTTTGTTCCTCTTTTATAGGAATTCCAAGGCCTCCACATCCTCCAGATATATCTCCTTATTATCCATTATCACCAGGCACTGTAGGACAAATCCCCCATCCGCTAGGATGGTTAGTACCACAGTAAGGAGTTCCATTTTTTTAATTTCTTTTTTCTTTTTCTGATGTGTAAAATTTATGTAAAAATGTGTGTGTGTGTGTGTGTGTGCGTGCACATTGCGAAGAGTTTGTTTGGCAGCTGCCACTTCACTGAGTGTTATGAATTTACCCACCTCATGAAGGTTAATTAAGATATATGCCAGGTCATGTGGTCATAAACAAACCTGAGCAGTTGGACACAGCTTTGCATGTCATCCCAACCAGCTGACAGCTTGTGAAACATGAATTTTTAAGCCCTTCTGCAGAAATGTCCTTTTCTTGTTATTGCCCTTACACTGCACTGCATGAGTTTTTCTCAGATTTGGTTTTCTAGGGGCTCAGGGTGGTTCTCACAGATCCTCTGTTTTTTTTGTTTTGTTGGTTTTTTTTTGGTTTTCTTTTTTTTTTTTTTTTTTTTTTTGGGTTTTTTTTTTTTTTTTTTAAAAATTTTGTTTGTTTTTTTTTTTTTTTTGGGTTTTTTTTTTTTTTTTTTAAAAATTTTGTTTGTTTTTTTTTTTTTTTTGGGTTTTTTTTTTTTTTTTTTTTTTTACTAGGGCCATCCTCACTACAAATTTGCAATTTTAAATTTCATTTGCCTTGTCTTTTGAAAACCCTTTTGTTTTTCTAATGAAACAGTAGAGCTTTACATCAGCCATGAGCAGCATTCCTAGCTGAGATGTGGCTGGGCAGTTGGCAATTGGCATCTGAGGAATGGAATTTTAAACAAGTAAAAGGAATTAGTTTACTTCAAAACTGGCTTAGAAAAAAGCAATGGAAAGTTAGTTTCGGGTTTGGTTTTGTTTTCAACTCCTCAGATCCTACTTGCAGAGCCTTGCTGGGTATGAGGCTCCCAGCAGTAACTGAGTCCTTATTTTCTTTTTTTTCTTATGTTGCCATCTCTCAATAGGTTTATAATACGCTTAAGCACTGTATAAGCCTTTTGTGTAGTATATTTGATTTAAATGCTTATAAAATCCATTTGCATTGCTGGATACAACAGTTCTATGCATTATAAATCAAGACTGTTGCCCTGTTTTTCTCACGTAGCAGGCCTCCATTTTGGGGTGATCATCTTTTTTATAGAAGTGAATTACCCAAAGTTCAAGATAGTTTGCTCCTGCTCGAGGTTGTTTGGCCAGCTGTGCTAAAATACCTCTCCAAAAATTCCTCCATGAGGAACTGGAGTTGACAGCCCGAAGGAGAGCAGGGGGTCACTGCATATCCCCAAGTCTTGGGCAAGGAGAGGTGGTAGCATCAGAGGCCTTGGAGGCCTTTCTCAAGCACAAAAGTGTTGATGCAGAAGAGGTGGAGCTTCTGGCCATTTTGCAGGCTGTCCTTCCTTGTGGGTGGTCATGCAGCTATTTTGGGTAGTTGTTCCCCCACCCTGAGGGTGAAGCATGTCCATCACCTCTCTGCTGAATGTTGCTTATCCAGAAGAGCACATCTTGAGCAGAAGAAAAACCCAAGGAATTGCTCCCTGAAATCTGAAATTCCTCCTTGTTTGTGGTGATTTACCTTTTCCAAAGGACACCCTGAACAATTGTAGACTGCATGTGAGCTCCTTAGCTCAAGTTTGCACAGCAACAGCCTCAACATTTCAAACAAATACACTCAGCTAGTGCCGAAAGTCAGTGACATGAAAGACATGAGAGTGAAGGGAAGAAACTCCCCACTGTCCTGACCTATATCCCATTGCTCATGTGTGTCTGTACTGTGCAGACACAGGTTTGTCCTCCTTGCATCTCATGCCATGGCTGCCAAAGTACGTGAACGATGCCACGTGTGGCCAGTTTCACCAGACAGGTGCTAATGACCACCTCTGTCTCTGGAGAACTCTGCCATCCCTGCTGCTTCAGAACAAGTCAACACCATGGTGTGCTTGCCTACCCACAGCTCTTACAGCTTCTCCCAGTGATTTTTTTCAGGGGTGGCATCATCACACTGGCTTTTGCTCTAGGAGAGTAGCATTGCCAACTTCACAGACGTAACCCAAGTTTTTCATTTCACCTCTCCTTGCCTCTTGCACTTCACCATCAACTTCCCAACCCATCTGTCCTCCACTGGCCTGCATATTTCTGGCATAGTACCCACTCCAAAAGCATCCTGCCCAGTCAGATGATGTATTTGAAGGACAGATGAAACGAGCTAGCCAGCACAGACAAACCTCCATCAGAAAAAGTTGTGTGTCTTTCATGAGGATGCTGTTTTGCATGTTGCTGTATTTTTTAATTATTGTAATGAGGTGTGATTGTCTATTGGTTACCCACAATACTTCTTGGGGACTCTCCCCCGGTAACTCTTGTCAACACTTGTTAATCTGACAAAAGGCTACAAATTAAGCTCTGTTAATTTAATGTTTTCTCACCGAGATCTAAATACCGAAAGAGGCCCAAAGCGCAACTGAAGTCCTTTGATTCACTGTACTTTATTTTGGTATAAATTTACATTCATTATTGTTTTCCTTTGGATGTGTAGCCCTCAATTAGTGTGATGGCTCCATTAAAGCAAGCGAGACTTCGCCTTTAATTATTACAACAAAACACCTAGTTTCAGCTTGGGGAGAGGGTCTCTATTGACATAAGCAGAGGTTATAAAATTTAATTAGCCATTCCTATCAGATTTATGGCATTCAAATTGTTCTGTGTTTCTTTCCTTTGATCCTTGCTGTACAATCCCCAAGATTTTTGTTCTGATCAAATGAGAATAAAGCTTACTGTGCAGAGAGAAGTTTTTTGTTGTTCTTTTTTTTTTTTTTTTTTTTAAAGCCCTTTTTTCCTTTCTCTCATTCTCTCTCTCCCTTCTTTTTTGCCAGGCAAGGTCAGCCAGTGTACCCAATCACGACAGGGGGTTTCCGCCACCCTTACCCAACAGCTCTGACCGTCAATGCTTCCATGTCAAGGTGAGTTCAAATACTGAGGTCCTAAATCAAGAGCAAATGTAGCTCCTCCTCCCACTCTCTGTAGGAGAGCATTTCATCTAGGCAGCAGATTCCTGAAAGCACTTCAGTTAAACATCCAACCTGAGCTTTTTGGTGGGATGGAAGAGAGGGTGAGGGCTACCTTCCCGTGTGAGGAGAAGGTGATGTCCTAATGCTGTCATTGGGCCTCAAGAATTTGTCTTAGAGGGAGAGGTGGAGGAGTGAGAAGCCAAACTAAATGAAAGAGCTGGGAGAGTGTAGTGTTGAAAAAGCAGGGATGAGAAGTCGTGATAGCCTTTGCTTCCTTGGTGGCCATCAGTCAGAGCAGCGCTGTGTGCGCGGGAGGGAAGGCTCAGGAGGGAGGAGGACTGCTCTTCAGCAGAGTTGGGAGGAAGGTTATTGTGCTGTGTTTTCCCCTCCCAAAGCTCCAAACACTAATAGTCAACATAAAAGGGCCTGCCTGACCCTCAAAAACCTTAGAAGTATATATTTCTCCCCCTCCCTACCTCCAATTAATTCCATCTAATTTTCCAGGGGCTGCTAGTTTTATTTACAAACTGGTTGGCAGCACTATGTTTAAGTAATCAGTAATTGCTCCTAATGATAGTTTTATTTTCTGTTCATCTGATTTTCAGCCTGGTTAATTAAATCGGTGGAAGTTTAGACTTTCCTGATGGGCTGAAACAGCTAATCCATTTTGATGATGGCACATAATTAAATTAGCATGCATTACATAGCAAGGTTCCACATCTCTTCCCTGCTCTGTCCCTTCCTCTCCATCTCTGCAGTTTAATATGTGAGCGTTGGTGCATAGATGATCTAAGGGGGAAAAGACTGGTGAGGGCTGGGGGGAAGCACACCTCATTGAGAAGTGGAAATCTGTACCTAGGGCTCGTGAATGAATGGGTGGGAAAACATTGTGGTGTGTGCTTTAGATAAGTAAACAAAAAACCTAAAAATTTAAATTAAAATGCTGGCCCAGCAATAGACAACTGGAAAATCAACTTTAAAAAAAATAAGTGTAGTCCCAGAACACAAAAAAAAATACTAGGCTGGGGAGAGAGCTGCAAATTTAAACAATGGTTCCCTCCCCCTATTTAATCTTTTTAATATCTGTAAAAGACTTGCAGGCATGGTGTGAGGCAAAGTAGAGCTTGATTTAGTTTAATTATTATTAGAGAGGCTAGTCATTTGAGGGAGGGGGGAGATGTGGAAGCAGGGGGGGCTATATTCCCAAGATAGACTTTATGAAAGGTATCTAGTTAAAAAGAGTACACAGCAAATTAAATACATTATTGTGGTAATGGGACGACAGAAGTAGAGGTCTATTATACTTATGGCAGTTATAGGAAATGTAGGCTCCTTGCCCTGTTCTAGCACATCCTTTGATATTCATTCCATTCAGCAGCAGGGCCAGGACTTCTCAGAATTAAGTGATGGGTCATTATACTTTAAACACCATGGAGAAGCCTAGATTGGCAATTAAACAGCACTTGCTGACACTCGCTTGTGCCACCCTGTGACCCCCTTTAGATTGAGTTGTTGGAGCTCGGGGCCCTCAGCCTGCTAAATTGGTAGCAGGCACTTCTCCTGACGAGGGCTGGCTCTGAAATCTGCCGGCTTCAAAGGGAGCAAGATCATGTATAAACCATAATGTGGGTGCACCGTGGCTCAAAAAATAAGGCAGGAATAGATGAAATGTTACAAGTGCAAGGGGAAAATGAGAGAATAATGACAAATCTAATGCAACTCAAAGCAGAATTGTTGCACAGAAAAATGCATCCCACTGCTTGTGCATAAAATCAAGGCAGGCAGATGACATCCAGTTAACAGAAACATGTCAACAGTGAAGTAAAGTGAGAGTGAGTAAGAGAGAAGCCCCTGAGACAGCCAGGAACAAAAAATTAGTTGTCCTTAACAAGTTAAGACTCATCATTATATTCTGGCTTGGAGCCATAAAAGGAGACAGTAGTGTATAATGAGCTGCTTAGAATTTTTAGGGTGTTTATTGCAATTCATGGAATACTTGTCTGGAGAAAAAAAAATCTGGTGAATGTCTTAGGCGAAGGTGAGGGGTGTGCACATACACAGGGAGCCTTTCTTTTTGTCTCTGACAGAAGCCCGTACGTGTGCACGTGCTCAGGCACACGTGCAGGGGGGTGAATTGATTTAAGGTGTTTACCCTTTGTTTCAGCCCAGAGACGTCTCCTCTGGTTTCCTGTAGATGGGAGCACCCTCTGTGCTCTCATCTGTGGTTTCATGTGTGTTTTCCTGTGTCAGCCTGGGCTCAGCAGGGGGACAGCCCTTGTCCAGGTGTCTGGTGTGCTCAGGAGATTCCTGGTGGTGCCCATGCTGGCCCTGGGCAACTGCCCTGCAGGGCCCTGCTGCAAACCTTGCCTTTGCCGTGCTGGCTGTGCCTCAACAGTGAAGTCAGCACAGACCTCACCCCTCCATCCACAGTTTTCCAGAGCCTGCCTTCAAAAATAGTTCCCATCTTTGCCTGCATTATGGTATAGATCTTTGGAGCCTGTAGTGCTTCCCAGCCTTTAGTTCCCTAAGCTTAGAAATTACTCTTTATTAGTTTAAGTGTGCTTATGAATAGTTTATAAAAGGTTAATGGGTGACTAATAGTGGTTTTTCATAGATGGTTTAGACTATTAAGGTGGTGTCTTTAACCAGTTACAACTCTTAGTTGTTGCTTGTAGTCTTGCCACACTCATGTTATATGCTTGTAGTATGCCTGTAAGATCTCTTGATCCTTCATTACCCCTCTGTAATATGCCTTTAAGGTAAAATGAGACAGGGCTAACTGAGTGATGGGCAAACAGTGGACCCACTATGAAAAAACAACTGCTGTGAGAGGAAATCAGGAAATAATTTAGCAGAATTACACCAGACAAACACTGCACAGCAGTTAAGTGGTGGCAGTGGAAAATACCTTCTGTAATTGAAATTTCAGGGGAAATTCACTTTTGCTGAATGTAATTACTGAAGTTGGAGTGTAGCCAGGAAGTTAAAAATTAACACCCTTCTCCTGCTCATATTGCCATGTGAGTGGCTGTCTACATGGAAATGAGCAGGCACTCAGCTCTTGGGCTGAGCCCTCATCCCACCAATGGAAGTCCTTGGGATTGTGACAGCAACTTTGGGTTCTGGAGCTTGTTTTTATAGCCCTAAATATAGGAAAGGGTGTGTAAGTCCAATAGGCAGCCTTGTGAATTGGACAGACTCAGTATGAAAAAGTGAATGGTCATTGGTAATGAACACAGCACTTCCTCATGGAGACTGCAACCCTGAAAATAACCACTGAGCTGCAGCTGCCTGTTGGTGAAGGCTGCTGCCTCTGGAGTTTAGAGCCCAGTGAGTAAAGTATCCCAGCTGAGGTCAGTGGAGGCTTTGCCATCCTTTAGGCTTTGACACAATGTGTGCATGCTGTGCTCTGCACTTAGATTTTCTCCCTGCTGGTACATGCCCAGTGCACTTCATGCTGAGTCCTCATGTCAGACCAGCAGAGCTCTTCCTGCCTGCTCTCTGAAGGAAGGCTTTTCATCTCCATCTTCATCCTTCATTGTCCCCTTGTCTCTGGCCTAGCCAGCCCCAGCAGCATTGTCCTCTCTGAAGCACTCAGTCTTGCCTAGGACAATCCCTTGAGAGGATGTGTTTTTATCCCTGTACTTAGACTGCATTCAGCAAGGTCAATTTTTTACCACCACTTTTATTTTTGATCATGTTTGTTAGTTATTTTTAAAAAAAATCCAGCTTATACTGCCAGTTTTTATTTGCATTGTACCATGTTTGAAGGTCCCAGGTGCTGTGTGAACAAATTTTAGATATGTCCAATCAAAATACATACACATGGAAGTAGAGATAGAACAGAAAAACGTAACACAAAGGCCCAGTTTGTGTCTTGCTGATGGTGAGCAGTTCTGTGGCAGAACTGGGACAAGGATGCCAGTCTCCTTTGCAGCCTCGACACTGTCTTCTCTTGTGACCTACCATGAACCAAAGCATATCCTCAAATGTGTGCTTCTCTCCCAGCTACTTTTGTCAGAGAGTGGGAAGGCACTTGGACAACCCACTTGGCGATTTGTGTCCGTGAGTCTTTAGCAGAAGTAGGAATGACCATTTTGCTGCCCATTCTCCTCTTCCCTTGCCATGCCACCTTCCTGCCTCCCTTCTCTCCATGCCTTTGTTCATGAAGAACTGCAGTTCTCTACAACTTGAACAATTTCACATTCTCCCTGTCAGTCCTTGCTCTTCCCACCACTGCCTTCAAAGACAAAATAGTTCTGTCTAATCACCCTGAGTACTACCAGCTGATAGACAAAAGATCCTCAGAGCTTTTAGTGGACAGTGCTCTTGTTCATGAAAGTACTTCTGTGTCATCTTGTGAATGTAGAGAACGTCTGGGCAGTCACAAGGGATGGGATTGTTAAGCTTGGTATTGGAATTTATAAGAGGGGAGAGAAAAAGATAACCCCACTATATTTCTGATGCTTACACACGGCGATATCCATGGTATATCACCCCATTTTAGATCCTGTTGGATGGATAGAAAAAAATTATTGTATATTGGTGATAGAAGAAATAATTATTTATCCCATTGAGTGTTCCATAATCTTGGGTTATTTTACTTGGATCAGATTGTTCAAAATCTGGGATGAGAGTGGGGATTTGCAGTGAGAAAAGCCCATGCCAGATCGCTTTAATTTTGGTGTTTTGAGGAAAGTTACTTCTGAAACATATTTTTAGGCTAGAACCCATTCCCTGGAAACCAGTTGACTTCAGTGGGGAAGGCAGTCAGTCATACTCTGCTTTCCTTATTTACTGCAAAACCTTTCTGAGACTGTTGAGAAACAATGATATAAGTCAATATTGCTTTTGAGAAGTTTGTTCATTTCTGTTAAAATGTAAAAAATCTGAATGATTGTGCCATGTTTGTGCTGTGATCCCCATCAAGCAATTAGATTCATGCAGAAGGATTGCATATCCCTCTGAATCCACTTGCTGGACTGGGATCTGTCCATGTATATGATCATAAACCATAAAGCTGACAACATTTTTTCTGTTTAGAAAGGCTAGACTGTTAAAGCCTTTCTAGGTTACTTAAATAGATCAAAAATTCCACAATCTTCCACCTTCTGTTAAAGCAGTGTGGCTCAGAGATTTATTAGACACAAATAAATATTTTCTTTTTCTCCATCAACAAAATGTAGCTAATGAGGCGTCTATAAGTATTATCAAAAATGCATCTAGAATGTGTTGGCATTAATATTTTATTTTGCTGTCAATATAGAATAAAAGATGTCATCCTAAATTCACAACATGATTCAAAACTATAAAAATTGATTCCTTGGCTGCCACACATAATTTCTCTGCAAAGAAATGGACTGGTGGATTTTGTTTCAGGTAGCTGAAATTCCACCTTCATACAAGTTCATTCAGTTGAATTCGCCTTTTGTTAATGTTAAAAATCATGATGTCTCGTGTCAGTAATGATAATGAAGGGGAAGATTGGCTTTAATGACATTAGAAGAGTCATTATGTTTAATTTATTGCTAATTAATGCTGCCAGCTTTCATATGCTTTGTCTAGTTGTCATGTGCTTGTTATATGCCAGTTGTTTTTTGTTTTTTTTTTTTTTTAATGTGTGTACACATCCCTCCCCATTCATTCATTTTTATTCTGACAATTTACACAGCTTTCTCTCCTCTAGGTTTCCTCCACACATGGTCCCGCCACACCATAGTTTACACACAACTGGAATTCCTCATCCGGCCATAGTCACACCAACAGTCAAACAGGAATCTTCCCAGAGCGACGTCGGCTCACTCCACAGCTCGTAAGTTGTTGCTTCCCCTGTCTTCTCTTTGGGATACTCAGAGCATTCCCTGTGCATGTGTGGCTTGTAAAAAGGCTTGGGTTTGTGATGGTTTTGCTCTGAAATATTTTTTCAATTTTTCTTTTCTGTTATAATTGATTTGAATGTGGTTTAGCTGCCAAAGTGTGTCCAAATGATGGTAGCAGTCTTTGAGTCATTCTATGACATAGGCAAGTAGTTAATAATTTCACCTGTTTCGACAAGGAAATGGAATTTTCTTGATTGAGATTCAAGTTTCTTGACCAGTTTCTCTATTACTCAGTGTCTAGTTTGAAGCCTTGAGATAACAGATACACCACAGGAGACAAAAAACTAAGCATAAATGGCTTCTTCAAAGCTGCAGAGAGCTGGTATCAAGTTTAGGTTTGAACTGACAAGAGCCCATTGATAAAGGGATGTAATTATTTCCTCTACTGTCATGCTCAGGCTCTCCCTGTGAGCCCATTTTTCTGGAGCCCATGTCCTTCCAGGGTTCTTGTAGGGGCTCAGAGGGTACTTGGTGATGTTGCATAAACATGAGGTGAGTTTTCTTGTAATGCTTTTAAGACTGTTGCCATACAGCAGCCAGGGTGAAGGGTCTAGAGAACCTTCTGGTCCTCTTCCTAGAGATTGCTGAGGATTTATGCTAGAGAGATTGAGGGGATTAATTTAATAAAGTCACAAGGGGTTCTCACTGTGAGGTCTCTGTCTGTTGTATCTTTACTCTTCAGAAAACATCAGGACTCCAAAAAAGAAGAAGAGAAAAAGAAGCCACACATAAAGAAACCTCTTAATGCATTTATGTTGTATATGAAGGAAATGAGAGCAAAAGTTGTAGCAGAATGCACATTGAAAGAGAGCGCAGCCATCAACCAAATCCTCGGTCGAAGGGTAGGTAACAAGGGACAAGCACCAGCAGGGCCTGAAACTCGGTGGCATTCACACCTTCTGAATCCCTCTGTTTTTCTGCCATTGTGAAAATGGATAGGGAAATTGCTAAACCAAAGGCCTTGGCTTGTTTTTTAGTTTTCATGGGCACTTCTTGCCAGTGGGGTCATTCATGGGGAAGAGGAGGAGTTAACTAATAGCAGTGTTATATTTCAGTATCATTTCCATGACTGGTTGATGAAAAAATCTTAGATTTTTATTTTGGCCTAAGATAGGCAGAAAAGTGAATGGGGAATGAAAAGCCTTTGAGTAGAGTGCCAGTATCAGCACCTGTGAGAACTAGGAAAGGTGAGGAAGTGCCAGTGTGGGAGACATCTCCAAAGCTGTAACTGAGTTCTGGCTCAGGACAAGTGGTTCAGCTTCTGGACCATATCCCCTGGTGTCTGTTTTTGTTTAGATTTATTAATTCTCCTCTCTCAACAGGAGACAAAAGGGGTTGAGTGTATGTAAATGATTAGTTGTGGTTCAGTTATCTAACTGCAGTTATAATCTAGAGCTGTAAATAAGATATGAATGTCAGCATGCCAGATCATCTGTTTTTATCTCTTTTTTATGAAAATCGATTCTAACTGTATCTATATGTATAAATAACACTCTTTGCTGTTAACATGCTTAAGAAAACCCCCAACCACTAGTGCTTTTTATTTTGTCTTTTTGTCTTTTCTCCACCCCAGTGGCACGCGTTATCCAGAGAAGAGCAAGCGAAATACTATGAACTAGCAAGAAAGGAGCGACAGCTTCACATGCAGCTGTACCCGGGCTGGTCCGCACGGGATAACTATGTAGGTTCCTATTAGGTGGAAACTTGTAGTAGTAGAACCTATAGAAATGTCTGTGTGACCTGCTGAGCTACGACCACACATTGCACACAAGCACTGCGTGGAAAAGCTCAGGACCCCAATCTGGTAACAACAGCAGGCGCTTCCCTCGGCAGTACCGAAACTGCTGGGGGGTGATTCCCACTTGGAAGAGGCTTCCTGGCTGGGACTAGTATGGGGTTGGAATTTGAGGATAACAGTAGAGCTCTGTGGAAAAAGTCTTCCCTTCACTTTTACCAGCATCTAGGAATGCTGTTTGGTTTGCTGGTCATTTCGAATTTCATTTTTTAAAACAAAATTTTAAATGCCCCTTGTATGCTCCTCTCCTTTCCTCCAGAAGAGATAAATAATTAGTGTCTTGTGCTTATCTGTGTGAGAATGTAGTGGAAGGTGGAAGAATGACTTATCCTAGCTTCAGAAAAGGACTGGCAAAACCAAAAGCATTACATTTTTGAAAGTCTTACTCTCAAGTGGGGTTAAATGAATTATTCCACTCTATAGCTGTGTATTTTGTTTATGTTTTCTTTTTCGTGTCCATATTACCTTCCCCCCCTGCCCCCCTCCTAATTTTCTAAAAAGTATATTGGAATTCATGATCAATTCATGGATTGTTTTAAAATTGATTCCTCCCTCTACTTTTCAGAAAGCCTTTTTTTGACCTAAAAGTGGTAGTATTTTTTGTCTGTTTAACAGCATAAGGGCAGCTTTATAACTCCTAGTACTAAATAGCTCTTTCCATGAAGGGTAAGCGGTGCAGATGGTAATAAGTGTTTGCAAGCCTAAGCCCATAAATTCTTGACAGGTTTGTGGATTGGTGAGAGCTCTAAACCCTTTTTAATAGGATTATAGCAGCATCTTGATTTTTTTTTAAAGTTAAATAAAAATCACCTAAAACTCTCAAGGTCTCTAACTCTGTAATAAACCCTGTTCCCTGCCTTCTAGTCACACTTCCCTGCAGGCTTGGGGACCACCAACTCTAAGATTGATGCCAGTTTTGTGTAGGGTTACACCTTATGGTTTTATTGAAGTCTGTCTCTTTGAACCCCATCATAATCACTGTCTGTTTTATCATAAATATTCTGTTTTGCTCTATATAACAAACTTGCCTCCGTGAATCTGCATTTTTATATGTATGGGTGGGAAGAAGCAAGTTCAGAGTCTGCAGTGAAGTCAGGAGAAGCAGCAGCTCTTTACACTCTTCTGCCCTTTCAGTGATGGAGAATACACATGCTCACTTATTTAGCAATATGTACTTACTGACATTTTTTCAAATCCTTCTGTTTTCTTGATCATCTTTTCTTTCCAGCGGGCTCAGCTCTCCCTCCTTGGTCATTAAAGGTATACCTGTGCATGCTCAATTGTCCTTCCAGTTCAGAATATTCTTGATTCTGTGCTCCTCAGAGGAGACCTTTTTAAGCCTGATGAGGCACAGCTCCTGCTTAGCACATTTTCCTTCCCTTTTCAGCACAGTCTGGCCTGAGGCTGTCAGACCACAGGGTTGAGGTAGTTCCTCAGCACTGTGCAGTATCGTCGTCTTGGGTGTTCAAAAGGGAGTCTAGGCTCGACTGAGGTTTCAGGAATGCTCATTCTGCACAGTGACTGTGCCACCGACAGATGGGCATGTACAAAGCCTCAGTGTTTAGGACCTTTTACTTTTGTCCTCACTGTGTGAACACTGAGAAACCCTTTCTTCTCAAGCTAAAAAGGACAGGATGAGAAAGCCGGTGCTTTCCCAGCGGCTTGATGCTGTACCCCCAGGTGACCTTCAGGGGGAACCTTCCTGCCTGAGGAGAGCGTGGTACCTTTGCATCATCCGCAGGATTTATTTATGTCTCCTCTCCTGGTCCATTCACAGCTCTCCTGAGTGCCCCTCCTCCCTCAGCCGTTTGTAGGGTCTTGAGCCTTTCACACATCTAGCAGGGGAGCGACTTTGGGCTGCTTGAAGTGGTTAAATTGTTAAGCACCTCACATCAGGCTCAAGGATAAGGCCAGCGATAGCCCACGTCTTCAGAGACAGGAGCAGTGCATTCAGGAAATGCAGCTTTCAGCCTCATGGCTTGTTGGTGTCACAAGGCACGTTGGCTCTTCCTGAGATCTAGTATGAGATGTTTAGCAGTGCTGAGTGCTGGACTCAGAAGTATGTAAGGGTCCAGTCACCTCACCCACTGCTTGTCTAGAAAATTAGTACCAAAGAACTCTGCAGACCTATCAAAACCCATGCTGGTTTGGCTCCGGAGAGGGAGCTACCAAAATTGTTGGCAGGTATTTACATCCATATTTATTTGCAGCATAAAAATTTGTATAGTATGATGACAGAAAATGTTACAATCTGCTCAAGTCTTGGGAGAATAATTTTAGGCAAAGAAAAAATGGTGTCTTCTGCAGAGCACTTGAAAAACTGATGCCACAGTTCCTTCCTTAAGTCCATATATTAATTTAGCTACATAGTCTAATATCCTCTTGTAGCCCAGAAATTGAATGAGCAAAGATTATTCTTCTCCCTGATGCTTTGAAAAGGGTGTAAAAAAGTCGATGTGACATCTGTCCATTCTTTGTTAGGAAGAGTTTTAAGAGCTTGTGTTGAAAAGGAGTGAGAAATTCCTGGTCCCTGGCTGACATTCCTGTAGATCAGGTGTTTTTAACAGATTGCTTCCTAATGGCGTTACAGTACTTTCACAAGCTCTTCAAGCCAGGTATTAAAGGCAGGTGACTCCTGACCTTTGTTCTGGCTGGCCCTCGAATGAAGAAGTTATAAGGTCTCAAACTGAAATAGCCCTTGAATTCCCAAATGTACTGCAAAAATTAAGCAAATTTGCCACAGATGCAGTCTGTTAATTATGCCACTGGCCTCCTTGCAATTAAATAAAAGTCAGGCATATGATCTTGAGGCAATTGTCTGGTTTTGGTTACGTTGTTGAAAGCTGGAAAAAATTCACTGATTTTCTCAGAGTTACTGTCAATCTAGATCAATATAGATGGAGCAGAGTCTGAGCCTCTTGCATCTTTATGTGATACATGGATTTCAAGATACTGTGCTTTTCCCTATTCTGTTCTCAGAGAGCTTTAGGAGCAATGCTTGTCTGCCTTATCTGCCTGTCATGTTAGACTGATGGCTGCTCTAGCAACTGACAACTTCCATATCCCAAAAAATTACCTCAGGGGTGTCAGAGATTATTTGTCATCAGCATCGAGGCTGCAGGATTGTATGCCTGTTGTTTAAAGTTCCTTTGAGGTGGACAGTTCACACTGCTTTTTCCATCTCCAGAAGGCTCTCATAAACCTGGAACAGCCTGGACAGCAGGATGGCAGTTTACAACCCTGAGCAAGCAAGGGGGAATGAGTGCAGAAACCCCATGCCACAAGGCCAGCTTTGTGGAGGAAAAACAGGACAACGACAGATCAATGTCCTACATTCATGTTGGGGGAATTTTTTACTAATACATTCCAGGAAATCTATCATAGGGAGCATCCCAAATGTGGATGCGCTGTGCTGAAGCCCATCTTAACCAGGTATCTGGAATCCATCTGCTGAGAAAGATGCCCACTGTGCGGGAGAACCTCTTGGCTTTCCCAGATACCTCCAACCCTTCAAAAGATGTGTGAGATTCATTCTTCCAAGATATGTTTGTTGCCCCTTGACCACAAGGGACTGCTGCTCTGAGGTCTTCTCATCAGCTGTGCTTGCTACCATGTCTTCAAAAGCCAGGAATTCTTGTGCTGTTCACACCTGACATTGCTGGTCCAAAAGTTGTTGCTTTTAGCATTTGGAGAGCTGTGAAAATGAAATTACTCTGTTGCCTACACTGGCCTTGTTGTACTAGTCTGCAACCCTGTACCTCAGTGTTAGAGGAGTTTTCTTGGAAAAATAGCTTTTCTTTTTTGAACTATGCTTATTACTTCGTATTTTTTCTATTGGAAAGCAATTACTGTTTTTCCACATAAGCTGGGCTCCCAGTTGTCTTCTCCCACACTGTTGGAGGGAAACAGAATAGGCTTTTCTCCCTCCAGTCAAAAACTGTAACAAATTTCATCATCTTGTGGTACAGCATTTGGGAAAGGGATAGAGTTTAGCAAAATATTACTGGTTGTTTTCTTGTGATAGAGCAAAATGTGGGAAGGGTCTTGGCTATGTCTGGATTTTTTTTTCTTGTCCTGGCATTGCTTTCTAGGTTGTCAGTGGAACTATAAAACTGCAGGTTAGGATTTATCATTACTGTGGGCTTCCTTGTCTGCTTGAATGCTTGGGGTTTGGTGCTGAGGAACTCCAGGGGCTCAGTCTGACCTCACTCTCCCCTCTCTATTCTCCCTCTCCTTCCCCTCCCTGCACCACCAATACATGACCACAAATGATTCTTGAAACTTTTGCATGCAGGAGCATACACATGTGAGATGTTTTTGGCTTCATGGTGATCTTAGCTCAAAAGCAGCATCTTGCAAGTCCTTCTGCCCCTGCCCCAGCTGCCCATGGCCTTGGTGGGTGTTAGCACTGGGTGGGCAGCAGTGAGGCTGTCTGAAAAGTCACAGGGTATGGAGGCAGAGTCAATCCTGGGGTGCAGCATCTCCTTGGAGCTCCCCAAAGTTCCCTGCACGGAGGGTGAGCCAGTGTCACGCTTTGGTGTCGCCCCTTGGGAGCTTCCTGCTCCAGCCACAGCCTCATTACTCAGTGCCCTCTTGCAAGGACACTTCTTTGTGGCTTAATTCTAATCCTTCTCGTTTGTGTATGTTTTCTGCAGGGAAAGAAGAAGAAGAGGAAAAGGGATAAGCAGCCAGGAGAGACCAATGGTAAGTAAAGATAAGTCTAAACCTCTTGCTTAGTGGAAGTGTGGCAGTCCTGGTGTGACCCTTGTAGGTACGGGGGAGGTGGGCACAGGTCTCCTGGCCTCCGGGGAGCCAGTCCCTACGTTAGACAGCTTTTTTTTTTTTAAGTGCACTCCAGTAATCCACGCGTTACCGCCCTTCTAAAACTAGTAACCCAGCCATTGCATGTCAGAGCCTCCTCGTGCGGCGCTAGCCGAGTTTGTCCGCGTAGCTGGCGAGCCTGTAACCGCAGAGCCGTAGCTGTAATGCCTGTGCCATCGTTTATCCAGCCGCCCGCTTCCTCCGCGCATCCGCGGGCGTGTGTGCGTGTCCGTGTGCGTGTGCTGTTAATTTGGGCTGTCCCTGGATGTCCTGATGCATGCCTTACAGTGGTAAATCGCACCCATCTTAAATTAAGGAGGTTTGCCATTCTATATAGGAAATTAGAAATACTGCATAGGCAATCTCATAGTCGATCTTGAAGAAGCCCTAACTTAGTTTTTTTGAAGCCTTTGTATAATTTGTTCTTTTTTTTCAGAACACAGCGAATGTTTCCTAAATCCTTGCCTTTCACTTCCTCCGATTACAGGTGCTAACGTCATTTTGAGTCATTTAAAATAGTTTATAAACTGCTTTTTAATTTTTTTTCCTGCCATTATAGATTTTAACATTAAACACTTATGACATTAAGAAAAAAAATACCATCCACACGTTTTGATAGTATTTATTATCTATATATCTTTATATCTATTATGTTTGATAGTATTTTTTAATTTTGTTTTTTGTTTTTGTAACAATTGCTATTAAAACAGTAATACAGTAAAAATAACGCAAGAGTTGTACTAACTGTGCAAATTGAATATGCAGTATTTCTTTAAAGAGACTGATAAAGAATGGAAGCAAGTCAGTAATGAACCTCCTTAATCTAATGGCATTTTTCATGGCTCCCACTAAGTCTTCTCACATTAGCATGCATACGCATTTTTTTATTATTATTTTAGTTTTGGATCTTTTTTTTTTCCTTTCTGCTCAAGCCTATTCATTGCAATTCACTAGCTGTACTAACTCTCAGCACCTTGCCATGCTTTACATTTTATTTTCTGGCTGATACTAACATACTCATTCCACAATCTGCTTATTCTTATCCATTCTTTTAAATACCAATTAATGAAAACAAGTAAATTGAATGTTATTCCAAAAGCTGCATTATCCCAAGAGATATAATTTCTTTTTTTTTGCCTTTCTTTTTTTTTTTTTCCTCTTGTTTCGTATCTGAGTTGAAGAAAAAAGCATGTTCAGGATCTAACTTCCATACTCAGCTTCTTTTCTTCCTTTCCCCCCCCCCCCCCCCTTAAAAAAAAAAACAAAAAAAAACAAACTCCAGCCCAAATTAAACTTGCCTGAAACATCCTGCTAGACCAACCACAAAGACTTTCCTCTACCTGCTCTCTTAAAAGGGAAAGAAACAGTCCTTTATAAAGGGATACTGCAGCTTTAATTGCAACAGCTAATCTCAAGAGTTGAATAAAAATGTAATTCTCACTTTTTTAAACTTTTAAATCAAAAGTCAATATTTGCAATTAATAACGAGGACATTGATTTTTATTCCCTTTTTTATTTTTATTTTTTCCTTATTTTTACCTTTCTCTTTTTTCTCCCTTTTTCTCTTTTCTTCTCTCTCTCTCTCTCACTCCCCCCTCTCCCCTTTTCTTTTTTTCCTCTCTCCCTTTTCTGCTCGCTTTTCTTGAACTCATTCAGACCTGAGCGCTCCTAAGAAATGCCGAGCGCGCTTTGGCCTTGATCAACAGAATAACTGGTGCGGCCCCTGCAGGTGTGTATAGTTTTCCCAGACTCGCTATGGCTGATTTGCAGCTGGTTTATTTGGTACTTTCCCCTTTTTTTTCCTGCCTTGTTGCTTTGTAGCTCTGTGTTGTGATCTAGAAGACACAAGGGAGTGGGACACTGCCATCAGTAATCATCTCTCCGAAAGGGTTTTGCTTTTTTTTTTTTTTTTCCTTTGTTGGTTGGTTGGTTGGTTTGTTTGTTTTTTTTTTTTTTTTGCCTTCCTCTTTGCTGCTGCTAGCCAAAAACCCACTGTAAAACAGCATCAACCTTAAGCCCATCTGATCCGTGGCTCAACCACACTCCTGCCTTCCAAGCCTCCACCAAGGACAGTCGCTCCCAAAGCCCTTGATAACGCGGCACTGAGTGCGGTTCCGACACCACACAGGCTCGTGGCTGTGTCGGAGATTTTTTTTTTTTTTGGTTTTCCTTTGGCTCATTGTGAAAGTCCTGTTTTCCTTCCTGCCCTTGGTACGAGGGGAGATTACCAAATAAAACGGAGGTGATTGAAAGCTGAACGTAGCTGTAGCTGAGATGACGCAGACCAAATGAGCTCTATCCACCATTGTGTTGTATTTTTTGTGTTTACCTTATGCTAACAGATGCAAATACTCCAAAGAAGTGTCGGGCATTGTTCGGGCTTGACCGACAGAGTTTATGGTGCAAACCATGCAGGTATAAAACTACCCATTAGGCCTTTGGGGAAATAAAAGCAATCTGTCCTCTTAGTGCATTTGTGTGATTTTATTTTTTTAATCTTTTTTCCCCACTACCCACCTTTCTCTCTCACACAGCATCAATTGCTAATAATCTTTAATCTTTGGAATTTCTTGCTAATTTAATGCCATTTTCTCTCTTTCTTTGCCAATAACCTCTCCCTGGTGGTAGAACTGGGAACAAGAAAACTCAAAGTCCTTAAAGCTGGCAAATTTTTGGCTTTTTTTGGTTATTTTTTCCATTTTGTCAGCAAAATTAATGTTTAGCTGGACATTTATATTTTGTCTTTCATTTGGGTCTATGTCCCCTGCCTGCAGAGGCTTTTTAAAAAGGTTCTGGGATCTGCAGTACTACTGTTTTTCTCATTATTAGAGATGTAAAAGCCAGTGTTTACAGCTTATATTGTATTCATTCTTTTGGTATTATCTGAAATATTAAAACGGCTTCCTGTTGGCTATTATGCCTCTGTAAGGCTTATGTAGATACAATTTTTAAAAATTATGTGAAATCTTTTTTCCTAATCCTAAAAATATATTTTTTCTTAAATTTTATCCCAACAAGTGAGCTGTAAACGTCTGAGCTCTAGACAAAACTAATTACAACTTTAGTAGCACAGTTTGCAGCATTAAAAGGAGATGAAAGACATCAGAGAGCCCAAATTCCGGCAGCCCATGTTCTACTGGAGTTTAATTCCATGTGTAACTCAGTACGTACTTCTTTCTTGGTGGAGGGATACCGAGTAGTTCTTTTCTCATTCCTTTTTCCTTATATGATCGCATTTGGTTAAATTTGTTGTTTCTTTATTCTGATACAAGCAGTCTTTGAATTTGGAATATTATGATGGTAGGTATTTCAACCCAAACCACACTCTGTGTGTAGTGATTCCTCTCCCACATTTTCCCCTCTTACTCATGCCAGTCCCATGTGCTCCATCTCATTTAGAATGTAGCTCAGACGTCCATCGTATTTTGTGTATGCACGCAGTCTTGTCTGTGCTTAGTGTCCAGGAAACTCGGATTGAGGGTGGTGGTGTGTGTCAGTGTACCAGAGGAGGCACCAGGAATGCCTTCTGCAGGCTGTGTGTTGTCCCATTTGAGGCACGGTATTATGGGGTGTTGGGGGTTAGGTGTCAGTACCAGGACATGTGTTAAACAAGCTGGGAAAGCAGCAGTTTTGTAGTGCTTGAAGGGAGAAGGGTTCAGCCCAGAAGAGCTGAGTAGCTGCTTCACTGTGTCAGGAGGCTCGAGTCTCATGCTAGCCAGGGACTGCAGTGCTGTGTTTAGTTAGGCTCTGTTCTGTGGTTACTTTGCTGCACACTATCAGCAGATATTTGTGTAGTCTAGAGATAGAGTATGTGAAGCATGTCAAGCTCTGCATGCCAAGTACCAGAACTGGGGGCACATCATGTTTGTGTTGCTTTATCTTTTCCTGGCTGCTTAAGTAAGCAACATACTTTAAAAACTACATTTTATCAGCAAAGAAACTTTTTATTTGGTCTGTACAGTGGTTAGGTTACATGTGAAGCACAAACCCTCTCTTAACTTATACCAGATTTTGCTCAGAAGTCTTTTCAGTGCATCAGGGACAACTTTAGTGGTACAGCTGATAGTTTTGGACTTACCGATTTAGCGTCAGCTGCTTTTCTTTTTGTTTTGGTTTGGTTTCTTGTTTTGTTTTGTCTTTTAATGCATGGAGGCATTTTACCACTAAGTATTAGAGCATTTCTCTCCTAGTTCTGGTCCTAACTGTTATAACATTGCATTTGCTAGCATGGTAGCATTTTGTAGCACACCTCAGGTAGGTGGTAAAGATGTGCAGTTTGCTGCTGTGGTGAAAACTGAGACATCTTTGCCCACAGCAAATGAATAAACCCTTGCACTCTTCTGTGGCTTTCACTCATGGCAATTGCAGCATTACAGGTTTCCTGGTGCTGTTCCAGGACTAGTTTCAAGAGCAGCAAAAGTGGGCTCAGGTCTGTTGGTGTTTGCTCTACTGATGTAGCAAGTTAACACTTTCAGAGCAATGCACATGTGAATAATCCTCATTAGTGCTTCTGAGGAGGCAATATGTAGTATTTTTGTTCCAGCCTTTTGGAGAGCAAAACTGAGGCACAAGTAGTTCCTTAGATTTTTACTCATTCCCCCTCACCAGAGCTGCCTGGTGGTCTTCACATCTGCTAAAATTAGGCTTGTGTTCTTTGGGGGCTTGCCCTGTGGACCTTTTGTCCCAATTAACCCTGACAGGTACATGACCACAGGTAACCAATCTGCGATTGGCACAGATTGCAGAAATATCTCCCGCCTTGAGCCATCATGATTTAAGTAAATATTATTTTCAGACTATGAGTGGCCACACTAATAAAGAGTTTAGCCAAAGAAGCAAAATGCTCCCTTAATCCTAGTCAAAGGAAAATTACTTCAGGTAGCAGAGCATTGGGTTTGTTTTTTAAAAGATTGTTAACTCTGCAGTGTCAGAAATCAGGTAAACCTGGTTTAAAGCTGCTTTGCCATGGGAGCTCTTTCTTTCAGGCCACAGAACATAAATAATATTAAAAAATAAATTTGAAATGCTGGCATACTAGATTCAAACTGCCTCCAGTTAAATAATTTACTGCCAGTTAAAGGACTTTCAGACCTCCGTCAATGAGGTAGGCAGAGCTTGGGTCTCTGCTTGCAAGTAATTTTAATTTGGGGATGGAGAGGGAGTCCTGCAGTCTCCACATTGTAATAACCCATCTTTCCACACAAGTAGGATTGGTGAGCTTTGTGGAGCTTAACTGCTTTGCCACTGGAGCTGTACAGAAGGTCCAAACAGGAACTGTGGCCCTGGTAGTGCTGCACAGCTGAAGTAGGAAGTAGTGAGAGAGGAGATGGGGGGGGGGGAGGGGGAGAGAACAGCAGAACTGTCCTTAGCCAAGAGCCAGAGATCTCCAGTGTTGTTTGTTGATGGTAGAAGAATTAACAAGGTCTGTTTTGAGCCCACCAAATTAATTTTTTTTTCTGTCTTTTAACGTTGCTCTAAATAAAGCATGGTTTACAGCCTTCACTTGCTGTCTTCTATCTTTCTTTCTTTCTTCTTAACATTTAAGTTGCATGGTTGTCTTTAGTTTTTAGCATGTATTGATCTGCAGGCTAACGTGGTTAAAACTCTAATAGCCCTAACCCCTTACCTTGCCATGTGGCACATGGAGCAGAACCTGAGAGCAGACCTGAATCTCTGGAGGAAGGGATGTCACAGCACTGGTCCCTCACTGAAGCTGGTGAAAGATGGGGTACTGGGGTGGTTGTTCCCTTCCTGGCTATGGGAGATGATAGTTTTAACTCCAGGATCAAGGTAGTGTGGTCTCCTTTGCAAATGAGAAGCATCTGTCCTCATTGCCTCGAGGATGGAGCTTGGTTTAACCTAGTCAAATGCCATACCTAGGGGAGAACACTGGTGACCAGCAGGGGAGCTGGGGCACCTCCTGGAGTGGGGAATGTCCCCATGTGACACTCAGCTGCTGTGCCACGCTCAGGCGCTCCCTCTGATGGAGTTGCAGAGCTGGAGTGATGTATCCACTGGAGAGGGAGAGCAACCTCCTCCTTCTCACTGGTGGCTTTGTGCAGCTTAGCTGAGCATCCAAAGTTCTTGTGGCAGAACTGCTCCAGACAGGCTTTGTGCTATGCCTTGGGCTGTGTGACAGCACTTCAGCACTTCCCATGGAAGTGTGATTGTGGATCGGAGGGCTGAAGAGCCAGCATGCTTAGGGTCAAGGTGGCCACTGGACTCTGCCAGATGCTGTGGTTGTTTGCCTCATTATTTCTGTCCTACTGCTAGAATTGTCTTGCACATACTTGGCAAGAGAGATGGTGTGAAACTGTCATCTGTTTTCATTGCTCCTTTACATTATCCAGTGGACAGAGGGAGGAGAAAAGATCTCTGTCGGGTCACTTATTTATTTGAAGATGAGCAGCTCTTGCGAGACTCTCATATGCCCTGGTGTGAAATTAAGATTCATGTTGCTCCTCACCCTTGTACCTGTCGTCGTGCTCTTCACCTGCTGAAATTGGATCCCACTCTGGAGTTACATGGATGGCCTCTCAGAGGAAAATCCCCAAAACGCAGACAAGCAGCTTCCCAAATCTACCACTCTCCCCTAAAACAAAAAGTAAAACTGAGTCGATTTAAAGCCACAACCTGCAGGGCATACAACCAGTTATTCTTGTTATTTTGGATCATACTCTGTTTTTCCTGTTCTTTTCCTGTTTTTTTTCCTTCTGTTTGCTTTGTTTGTTCGTTTTGTTTTTATTTCCCCTCTCTCTTGTTCTCTCTGTTATATATCCCTTCTGTCTGACTGACATTTCTGGATTTGGTGTGGTTCTTAACAGAGGAGAAAGCAATGAGCAGTAGTTTGCAGCCGTTCTTGCCTCCCAAGGGCAGGGCATCATATAAGACCACAGGTGACACAGGTGGAGCTATAGCCCCATTGAGTTGGACAGTGTTATGGGACATCTTGAGATACCATCAGCTATCCAGGGTTTTTATTTTAGGAAGATTAAATTACTTTTTAATATTTTTTTTCCATATAGGAAAGTTTGTAGATTAGAACAGTGGGCTCCAAAACCCATTTATCTGGTTTTCTGATTATGAAAATAAGAAAAGGAGGCGGCCTGAAGAGGAGGGGGATGAAGAGACAATTAATTGGTGAATCCTTTCCAAATCTCTTAGCCGAGGGGAGGTTCCCGAGTGGGTTTGGTGCCGAGGACACCCTGCCAGACCCCCAGGATGGCACGTGGGGCCAGGATGCCACCCATGCAGAGCCCAGAGTAGCTGACTGATGGCTCTTTGCTGTAGATGACTGTCTCCATCAGCATCTCTGCCCTTTATTCATGGATAACTCTCTCCCTGTTTCTAGGAGAAAAAAAAAGTGCGTTCGCTACATACAAGGTGAAGGCAGCTGCGTCAGCCCACCCTCTTCAGATGGAAGCTTACTAGACTCTCCTCCGTCCTCCCCCGCCATGCTCGCCTCCCCCTCCAGAGACTCGAAACCACAGACTGAACAAACGCAACCCCTCTCGCTCTCATTGAAGCCCGACCCGCTGGCGCACCTGGTGATGATGCCGCCGCCATCCTCGCTGGTGCTCGCTGAGAGCGCCGCGAGCAAGCCCGGCGCCCTGCCCGCCGCCAGCTGCCCCAACGGGGCCCTGGACCACCCGCCGGCCGCCCTCCCGCCGGCCGCCGCCGCATCCCTCGCACAGCCCTCGACGTCCTCCTTGCATTCCCACAGCTCGCTGGCGGGGACACAGCCCCAGCCGCTCTCCCTTGTAACGAAGTCCTTAGAATAGCTTTAGCCTCGTTAGCCCTTTCGGTTTCCTTTCGGGGGGATTGAATTCTTATGGTATTTGGGGTTTTGGTTTTGTTTTTTTTTTTTTGTTTTTTTTTCCTTTTCTTTATTTTTTTTCTCTTCTCCTTGTTGTCGTCCTCTGTTCGTCGTCGTTTCTTGGTTTCATTTTTAATTTGTGCCATGTGGCTACATTAGTTGATGTTTTATCGAGTTCATTGGTCAATATTTGACCCATTCTTATTTCAATTTCTCCTTTTTAAATATGTAGATGAGAAAAGCCTCATGATTCTGCCAAAATTTTTATCAACAGCTGTTTAAAGTCTTTGTAGCGTTTAAAAAATATATATATATACATAATTGTTATGTAGTTCCAATAGCTTAGTTTTAAAGACTGATTTTAAAAATTAAAAAAAAAAAAGAAGCAATTTTGAAGCAGCCCTTGCCAGAGGCATTGGTTCTTTATTATTTGTATTAAATACGAGCTTGCGAACCAATCATTTTACATCTGGTTTTTAAACCTTTAAGTGCACAACGAATGCGGTGCCGCTACTACTTCTTTTTTTTTTCTTCCTTGTGTGAAACAACCTTTATTGTGATGTTACTTGTTATTGTTTAAATGTACAGAAACAAAGGGTTAAAAAAATGTGTTAATATACCTTGTTCCATGGTGTTGTTCTTTTTGGGGGAGGGGACGCTACTCAACAATTAAAAGTATCACAACGCTATTGGACCAGTAGTATTTATTGCTTTAGAAATTGCTTGTTGTATCTGTATGTTGTCCCTTTTTAAATGTTTTTTTTCTTCTTTTATTTTTCCTTGAAACATTGTATAAAGGGTTTTTTTTTTTCTTTAGTGTAAGCATCTTATATATAACAACTCATTTGTACAAGGTTTTTAAGTTTATATATAAATGTGTATATATATATTTTTTTCCGGGTTTTTGTTTTTGATTTGTTTTTTTTTTTTTTTTTTTTTTTTTTTTTTTTTTTTTTTTTTTTTGCTATATGAAATACGGTTGCCACCAAATGGACATTCGCAGATGCATTTTTTCAAGGATCAATAGTGTAAAGAATAAAATTGCTTTAAAAGCCATTACACTCGAAAAGACTTGAAAATTTAGCAAGGGAATTTTTAGCAATGCTGTTTGAAAAATAGCAAGGTCCAAGTGTCTCCCGTTCAGAACTGCAGCTGAATCCCCTGCGACATTAGGACTGTAGGCTGTGTGCAAAATTTTTATGTGCCAAAATTCTCAGTGACTTTTAACTTTCTCCCGACAACTTTATTATTTTTTTTTAATGCTGTAATTTTTTTGTTCATCATGTTTTGCTGTGATGTTACATAGGTAGATATGTATGTAGTTTTAATGTCACCTATAACAGACGTGTTTGGTAGCAGATTGTCCGGAAAGCATTTAAAATGAAGAGGTATAAACCCTTAAGGGCCAAATTCTGTATATTAGATTATTCATAAAAGGAAAATCAGACTGCCACTTTTATGTACACTTACTACATACAGGTAGGTAGCAAACTTAAAACAAAAAAAAAAACCTAGGCATGTTGATGTTGCAAAAAACGCTGTATAAAGCTGAAAAATTGTTCATCTGTTCATTCAGTGCCATTGTAGTTGACATGAAGCGATTGTAAAACTGTCTCAGATTTTTCTCTGGTTTATTAAGATGCTAACTATAACATTTTTTGTGAATACTTTGAATGTTTCCTAACAGTTGTGATGTTACTGTTCCGTTTTATGCTCTTATTCCAATTTTCATTTTTAATGGTTTGGAAGCCATTTTTTGTAATGAATAAATGTTCATGCTGTACAGTATCTGTAGCATGCAGTTCTGGATTAATAAAAGCAACTTAGTATGTGCAGAGAATGACTTGTCAACTCATTTATGCGTTGACTGCATTTTATCTGGCTGGAAAGATTTTCAGGCTGACTGGAAAGATTCCTTGGGAAAAAAAGTGAAAATTGTGGCAAATTGCAGCCAGCTCTAGTTGTGAGAAATCCCGATTTGCATTTGCACTGGCCCTCTCCCTGCTCAGTGCTCTTTTGCATGAGTAGCAGTGGTTAAAGAGCCTTTTTATTTAAAGCAAATGGCACATGATTTGGCAGAATACAGCATGTGAGCTGGGGGAATGTCCTTCCATGTGAAGTGAGCCTGACTGGTGGATGGGAGACCTTTAATTTTAATACACTTCTGTTTAACCTGGTGATCTCACAACATAGAGCTGCTGCACTATAAAGGTCACATAGGAGAGCCCACATAGCCCTAATTAGTAAAGTCCTTCTTCTGGCCTTAGGCTTTATCTCCTGGACAGATTTGAGTCCAGTTTTGCTTATATTTGAGGGGTTTTTTAATGGAATGAGCCCTTGCAGCACAGCCTGCTCTAGGTTCTGAGAATCCAGCATCCATCTGACAGCAATACCTGCAGGTGCTGCAGGATGGATGTGAATTTATATGCAAAGATTCTTATTATGTTGTTGATTTGTTTGGGGTTTTTTTTTAATAAGTGGAGATTTAAACTTCCTAATTTCCAGGATTCTGTCTCAAGTGGATGTCACCACAGGGCCAGCCATCTTGGAAAATGTCAGCCATGGTAATTCCTGCAGTGGCACTTGAGGAGAATGGAGTGTTGAAGTGGGTTTGTTCCCTGCTGTTGTGCAGGTGCATTGCATTTCTGTTTGGTTGGTCTTGGCGAGCTCTGCAGGAAGGGTGAGTGTTCTGCAGAGACCTGGGAACAGGCTGTTCTGTTCTGGGATGGTGCTGTCCCTTCCTCTGGGGTCCAATAAAACCTGCAAAAGTGTTCATTGGCTGCAGAAGGAATTTCCTTTGTGAAGGCCTGGGAGGTGCTGAGTACTAAATAATGTGTAAGCAATATACAGTACTTTAAATTGCTAATATTTAATTATTAATTAACAAAACAAGCCCTTTTTTTTTGTTCAAACATGTTAGCAAAGGGCAATATATGTGAGTATTATTTCTTATGTCCTATTAGAAGGATTAAGTCATTGTGAATTTTTTACCAAACTCCCTTTATCTCTCTTGATCCAAGGCCTGATGGTGTTTTTGTTGTGGTCTGACATGATGCTGCCCTTGACCTCAGTGGAACATGTTCCCTCATCAACCACGACAGGCACGTGGGTGGGAGAGGGCTCTGCAGTGGGGAAAAGGACATTGCTGCAAAGCCTTTGTGGAAGATGCCAGACTTTGCTGTTGTTGGTAGCCAGTAAATTGAATGCAATGCTCAAATTACTCTCCAGCTAGTTAAGGTTTCTAGGGAATTTTTTACTTCTTTTTCCTAAGTGTTTTGACTCTTGCTAGAGCATGGCCATCCATCAGCTCGACACATGTGCTGCATCTCTGCTGGGGATAGCTGCTCTCTTCTAAAGTAAGGAATAGTGCTCCAGGGAGATCTCTGAATGCCATGATTCAAAGTAGACACCATCAAGGTATGATTCATATATTCAGGAAAATAATGCGTTCTTTGCTCTCTGCTTTATTAGGCAAACTTCGGAAAGCAGAGTCCTGAAACACCATTCCCATGCAAATTAGTTTTCCTTCTGTGTGTGTGGTGAGAGGCATGTGTTCCAGGGATACGTTGAACAGGGCTTGTAAGTGGTGGATAACTCATGCTGGGAACTTATTTGCAGTGGAAAACAATTGTATATCCCTGGGAAAGAAACTGCTTGTGTTTCCTCCAGGTTGTGCCTTGGCTGCACAAGGGATTTTGCCTTCAGATTTGAGGGACTGTGCCTTCAGATTTGCCTCCAAGCTTCCCTTGCTTAGAGGGATTGAGCTGGGTCAAGGCTCCTGGGAGAAAATTGCCATTATTTGTATGTATTCCCTTTGTGTCCAGGAGTCCAGGTACAGTGGAAACGTGGTGGAAAGACGGCCCTGTCTATGCATTGTAGGTGTAAAATAGGGTGGGAAACAGGCTGATCACCCCCAGATCCACACCAGTGAAGGCAGCCACTAGAGTGGGGTGGTGACAAAGTGGCGTGGTCTGTTCTCATGCCTAGAGACAGCACAGGATCCTGCATGCAGTAGGTAATTCACTGTAGCTATTGCTTCCATCTGTTTTTATGGACTAAGGCAAGGAAGCAAGTCAATGTATTGCATGTTCGGGAGACATTTATTTTCCATTAGTTTTGTAAATCTCATTTTTCACTTAGTGTATGGAATTTTAAAAAGTTTAAGCAATTGCTGACTCAAAGCAGTGCCACATGGTTTTATGCTTTGCTTAAAAGAAAAAAATGGAGAAGCAGGAAAAAAAGAGTAATCTTTAGAGTCCTGTTCATTTCATTAGACTATAAAAAAGATGTAAAGAGAATTTACAGTAAAATGGTTGCATAGGTCATTGCAAAAATAATGAAAGTTTAAATAATAATAATAATAATAATTATTATTATTAATTACAAAACCAATAATAATAACAACAACAACGTGTGTGACACTGCTGCCCAGGTATATCTGGAATAAATGTAGGAGCACCACCTAAGGGCTGGATGACAGTTTTGGATGCTGTTTTGGGAGAGGTGCTGGTGCTCCAGCTGAAAACTAAATTCAGTACAGGACTGAGATTGATTTCAAGTGATCTTTGTTGGACAGGACATCTAAAGCTTTTGGAGCCTTTGTGAATATTCAAATTTGCTCAGAGGCTGTAGCAATTGTTTTGTTATAAAAAAAGGATAGACACTTACTTTGGCATTCATTTTAAGATGTCCCTGGAAAACATCTTGAGATTTTTGAGACAGATCAGCTACAAGTGATTTCATTCCAAGCACCCATCATTGTCAATAATGTCACCAACCCATTTAAGGACCCTTTGTTGACTGTAGTCTTCCAGCCCCTGGACAGATTTTCTTCTGGGATCAATCAAAATATTAACTCATGACTTTCATCCATGTACTAGGAGCTTCTCTTTTTCTGGGGTTGCAAATGCTTTTAAATTTGGGGTGGGGGGATATTAATCTGGACCTCTAAGGCAGTGGAGAGCATGAAGTCATGCTCTCTGTCCATCTGCTTGACCCTCTCCTGATAATTCTTGAATACTCTGGCATTTTGAACCAGATTTGACAGCAGCAGTCAAACTCTCAGAGATAATAAAGTCCCTCTGAGTTCCAGGGAAATCTCTGCCGGCGCTGAAAAGAGAGGTTTTCCAGATCCACTGCTGAAGAAAAGGCAGGGAGAACTCAGCTGTTATCCATTCTCTCTGGCAGCATCCAGATGGCCAATTATCACACGTCTACTTCTGGAGCAGCATCTGCTCTCCCCTGCCCAGCTGGCAGGCTGAGAAGATTAGGTAGGAGACATGGACAGCATTGGGATGTTGGAGGGAACAAGGGAACGAGTTAAGGGTATAGGGAGAAGTGTAAATACTGCAGCTGCAATATGTAATATTATGTAAGACTGCAGTGGGGAAGCAAGGGGAGGGAAAGGACAATGGGGAGATAGGAGACACATCTGCAGGACACCAGGCCCTGCTAATGCTCCTGCTCACAGAGCAGAGCTGCTCTGGAGAAGTCAGTGCAGGGGTTAGCAGATCCTTGTCTCACTCCTTTGAGTTAGCAGCTCACCAATGGGAAGCACAGCCCCATTTAGGAGGTACCTGCTGGCAGGGGCTTGTGATGCCCTGGCCTGGACACCACCAGAACAGTTACAGGGTGGGAAAGTCCCAAGGTGTTTCCAGAGCTCTGTAGCATGGGCATGACTGAAGCTGGGTGTGCAAAGCAAGAAGGGTGGGGTTTTGTTCAAGAAAGAGAGAAAAAGGATTATTATCTTATTTGCAAACAAGCCCATTTGTAGTAGCTGGTTGCCAGGCATTAGCAAACACCCTGGTTTTAATCTCCATCAGAAATTGTCTCCTTTGCTCCCTTATTTTGCATTCCTTTTTAAATATGCTGCTGGGGTATTTTTGGATCTAACTATATCTTTTTAATCTGTTCCACCCACCCCTCCTCAGCCCCCGCTGCTTCCCTGCCTGCTCCTTCTTCAAACTTATATAATGGCACATTATACAAAATAGCTAAGCAGGTGGTATTTTTAAAGACAGTGAGTGAGCATTTTTTTGGCCTAAATTTGGAACGAAACAGATGGATTTTAAGACTCTGCTTTTTCTATGAATAGTAACCGTTGTTCTCTACTGCCTTAAACACCAGTTTCAAGACCACCTCCAGCAACCAATCAGCACACTGTTATTTAATTATAACAAAATTCTTAGCTCTGTCTGCTGCTGCATGGGCAAGTGGGGGGCACTGGATCAACTTCTGGAGCCAGGCAGACTTGCCAACAATAATTTTCCTTTTCCCAGAGGGCCAAGGGGGCCTGGACTGGGTTCCAAGTTCCTCCTAAACTGGCTGTTCAGTTTGGGCTCCCTGACAGAGTGCTTGAAAAGGGTTATAGAAAGGCAGATAAATGCACTTCTTGTTGCAAGCTTCCCTGACAAGCCAGGCCTCCAGAACAGTGATCTCATTCCTGCCTTATTATTGGTGGTGCCAGATTTTTTCCATTAACAGGTAATTGAGTCGAAACTAAAATAAGCAAAGTTTGTTTTATCCAGTGCGTTTTCTTGCTTGGTTGTGAAAGAAAAACACTTTAGAGAGGGGTTTGCTTTTAATGTTCATGGAAATGTATTTACATCTCACAGATTTCTCCCTGCTCTAGTGTAATTAACCTGACTGGTCTTTTTGTTATTGTTGTTTTGATTTTTAGAGCAAAGATATTGGCGAGGCTTAATTCATTTTTCTAACGGTTTGCATTCCCTGGGAGCAGCAGGGCTGAAGTCGCCCATTCTGTGCACAGCCACAAGTGCTATCCAGCTCCTGACTGTGCATTCACACTGTGGGCTTGGCTTCACCCATGGCCCCAGAGGG